AACTTCATAGGGTTGTTTGAAGATCAAACAAGCTAAGTTTTGTGAAGATTGTTCACATAGTAAGTCCTGACAAATTGGTAGCAATTTCCCCCTCTTCTTCTTCTCTCCTGCCTACTAGGATGTCTGAAGCTGTGAGCCTTGATTTTCTGCCTTTTCCATTTATACCATTCAGAAGACTACTGAGCCTCGTAGCTTTACCAGCACATGGTCGGTAGTGCACAGGCCTCTCCACCTAGGCCTTGTCATTGGAGCTTCTGTCATTACGGTTTTGACTATAACTAAGGCATCACTGATACAGTATCCTCCTGTTCGTGATCTGTCCATCTCCAAATTATCATGCCCTTCCAAGTCCCTCATTTCTATCACTGGAACCCCTATTTGCTATTGATCTCTGGCTTCAAAGTTGCTTTCTTTTCTTCCCATAGCTGATCAGTATCACTCCTGACTACTCCTTCTCACAGCTTCAGCCGCCCTTTGTTCCCAGGCCCGGTGCTGATGTTAGCTGAGAAGCGGCTGGCACATTCCCCCCCACCCCCCCCAGCCTCCTCACTGCCGTGCGCCCTTCATGCACTTGGTTTCTCCTTTGTGCTTTTGCTCATGGGGCTCAAGGGACACTTGATGTTCTTTAAGTTAGTCTTTTATTATTTATTGACTTATATTGCTAACTCTCGAAATATCTATATGTCTTTTCAAACTAGGTTATACACTCCTTGAAAACAACCAAACAAAAAAACAGGACATAAACTTCTCAGAATTACTGTTGTTCTAAACACAAGGCTCAGTAAAGGCTTCCTGATGGAATGAGCAGGCTGAATATAGCCCCCTCTGTTGAGAATAAGGAATGGCTTCTTGCTGGGCGTCACGTCCATGCCAGGCTCTTCAGGTGGTGTTGTAGGCGCACTGTGGGCTGACTGCCTCTTCCCTGCTCTTCCCTGTAGCTCTTTCCTGATGTGGCCCTCAGTCCAGGCTTACCTCTTTACCCCCCACACAGACAACACATACATGTGTGCACTCACACATACTTAGCTGGCTATTAAAGTCATAATCTTTCTGTCTCTGTTTTCACCCCAGACCCTAAGACGTCAGGTTCTCCATGGCCAAATGCAATGCTTTACCAGTCACCTATGAAGAGCTAGTACAGGAAGGAGGGAAAATCAGTTCTGTGACCTTTTGCGCAGTAACAATAGGCTGAGGTTGAGATGGGCTGGGTCATCAGGAAGAAAGTTTCTTTGGAGGAAGTAGTTAAAGTGCAGAGGCACGCGTCCCTTCTGCTGGGGGCTGCTTCACTTCACACCCAGTGAGGTGGCTGTTAAGAGGCATCTGTAGAGGACTTGATTTCATGTTCTCTGCCTCATCAAGGGAAAAGAGGGACTGACATGGAGCCTGTGATCAGGAGATTCAAAGCAGCAGGTTGTGGCTGGAGCTGCTTGTCTGGAGGCAAAGGAAAGAAGGGCGATTAAACAGCATCAGGGGTGCCTGTTCCTGACCATAGGACAGAGGTGCAAGTTCCCGTGGATCATTTGTAGGTCACATTGGAGAGCCACCTGCACCAGGTTTAAATGAAAATAGGACACACCCAAAGTACTTTCCAAGATAGGACGATCTTGACAAAAAGAAGGTGGAAGTGTTCTGGTGGATAGAGAAGCTTTCGGGGAGAGGTGAGGGTTCTAATAGACTGATCTAAAGAGGAACATTGCCCATAGGAAGAAAACCGGACATTCCAGTTTCTTCTTCATTTCACACCCAGTGAGGAGGGCTCTCTGCAGCAGCCATACAATCTCCCTAGGAGATTTTGCCAGTGTAGAGGTCATCAAGGTGAGGTCTTGTTGGTATTAACCAAGGCCTGTGTTTCCTTTTCCTCTCTCTCCACCTCATCCAAACCCCAAACAGTCCAGAGGTCAGTGTGGGCAGGAAGGGGAGAGAGAGAAGACAAGGTGGGGAAACAGAGAAACCCACGGAGTTGTTTCTCATGCAATCTCCTCTCCCATTCTTTATCACCAGCAAGGGTCCCGTGATGTAATGACACCCTGGCACTGCCTACTTGGAATTAGCATCAGACACTATAGGCTACAGGCTCGGTGTCACGACTGCCCCACTTTAGCTGCCAGCTACAAATGGGGTTGCCCAGGTTGCCCACATTTTTGCCAGATTGACAATAAATTTGGTGGTCCCCACAGATGCCTTCCTGATAATTTGTTACAATGACTTTAACTCAGGAAAGCATTGCACTTCCTAGTCATGGTTTACTAGTTTGTTATGAAGGCTACATCTCAGGAACAGCCAGATGGAAAAGAAACACAGCACAAGATCTTGGAGGGGGTGGCACCGAGCTTTCATGCACCCTCCAGGGAAACCACCTTCCCAGGAGTCTGGCGTGTTCACTAACTCAAAAGTCCCTCAAATCCCATCATTTAGGGGCTTTTATGTCACTGCACTGGCATGACGGAGTAAACTGTTCACTGCTGTGATTAAACTCAGTCTCTGGTTCCTCTCCCCTACCCAGAGGTGGAGGTGATGCTGCTCAAAGTTCAAATCCTCTAATCAGGGCTTGGGCTCTCTGGTTGAAAGGGGATTATTAAGAATAACCAAAGATGCTCTTATGACTCAGGATATTCCACAGGTTTTAGGAACTCTGTACTAGAAACTAGGGACATAGATACCAAATATATATTTCCTATCATCCCCTCCACCCCCTCCCCCCACCCCCCGCCAACAATACCTGCTTTCCCATAGGCTTCCAGCCTAAAACAGGCCTACAGGAAAGGAGACTCTTTTACTTTAAATAAAACTTAGAGTTTCAATTATCCAGTTAAAATGGACATTTTTATTATTGAAGTGACAATGTTCTTGTGTCCAGAATAACTTTTTCTAATTTTCATTTTTTATTTTATTTTATTTTTTTAAATTAATATAAAGGTACAAATTTTTAGGTTGCAGTGTTCTCACTTCCAGGGTAAAGTTCAAGTTGTAGATGAGCCCTTCATCCAAGGGGTGTGCTGAAAACCCTCAAATTGTGCACATTAGGTGCGATCTAGACAAATGTCCTTCCTCCTCCCTCCAATCACTCTTCCCCTGCCCCTCCCTTCTTCCTCCTCACCCCTCCCCCTTGCTAGACTATTTTTGTGTTTTATTGTTCGTATGAGCATGTAATTGTTTTATATATTGGTTTCATATTGGTATTGAGTACATTAAATTATTTTTCCATTCTTGAGATATTTTACTAAGAAGAATGTGTTTCAACCCCATCCAAGTAAACATAAAGATGGAAAATCTCTATCCTTTCTTATGGTTGAATAGTATTCCATGGTATACATGTTTCTTAGTCCATACATGGGTTGTATCTATGACTTGCCAATTGTGAATTGAGCTGACGTAAACATTCTGGTGCAAATGTCTTTGTGGTAAGATGCTTTTTGTTCTTCTGGGTAGATACCTAGTAATGGAATTGTGGGATCAAATGGAGGTTAGCTTTTAGTTCTTTGAGGATTCTCCATACTTCTTTTCAAAAAGATTGTATTAGTTTGCAGTCCCATCAGCAGTGTAGAAGTGTTCCCTTCTGTCCACATTCCTACCATCTGCAGTTTCGGGACTGTGTGATGTGGGATAATCTTACTGGAGTTAGGTGATATCTCAAGGTGGTTTTAATTTGCATTTCTCTTATGATTAAAGGTGGTGAGCATTTTTTCATGTGTTTCTTGGCCATTCATCTACCATCTTTAGAGAAGTTTCTGTTCAAGTCTCTTGCCCACATAGATATGAGATTGTTTGCTTTTTCTTGTTGTTTAATTTGAGTTCTCATGGATTCTGCTTATCAGGCCTTTGTCAGATTCATAATATGCAAAAATCTTCTCCCATTCTGAAGGCTTTGGTTGTAGTACCCTTAGCAGTGGAGAGAGAAGCTTTGTAGTTTGATCAAATCTCATTTATTTTTGATGTTGCTGCAATTGCCGGGGGTGGGGGAGGCTTCATCACAAAATCATTTTCTAGTCCAGTATTTTTTATGGGTTTTTTTTTCACAGTTTTTTTTTTGGCCGGGGCCAGGTTTGAACCCACCACCTCCAGTATATGGGGCTGGTGCCCTACTGCTTTGAGCCAGAGGCACTGCCCCAATATTTTTTTACTTTTATTAGTAAAAAAGACCTAGAAACAGTGCGCAGCCTACCTGCCGTATTACGGCAGCAGTGGTAAAGAAGAGATCTAGGGAGCAGGTTTGCATGGACAGGAGAAAGGGAAGGAAAATGTTGTTTTCCTGGAGGTCCCTCACTTTCGGTATAACTGTTACATTTTCTGATGCAGTACCTGCAGAAAGGTGTGTGAGTACACGCATGCAGACATGAGTGAATGTGTACAGGCGTGGGTGCATATATGCAGGCATGAGTGCATGAATACAGGTGTGCATGCATGTGTGTAGGCGTGGGTGGGTGTGTGCAGGTGTGGGTGTGTGTGTGCAAGTGTGGGTGCATGTGTGTGCAGGCGTGTGCACGTTGTCTTTTATTTGTTGATGAAAGTTAAAATACCCACGTGTGTGACTCCGTCCACTTTAGCCCTTGGACTGGAAGGATATCTGTGGTCAAACTTCGTAGGTTACCTTGTAGTTAGTAGAACTAAGTTTGTCTACTAACTTTCAGTGCTCTGATAATAAAATTTTCTGTAGAGGTAGACAAGTTTCCCAGGCAGTTGGAAGTGTATTCTGTGTCCAGCCTCTCTTTAAATTACTTCAGTTATGATCAGGGCAAGAATTTCTTCAGGTTTCCACCTCCTTTGTTCTTGCTTCTTTTTCTCTTGCTCTTGGAAGGTGAAAAAAGTTCGCCTGATTTTATTAATCTGCCCACCTACCATGGTGGCAGCATGTTTGAATACTCAAAGGCATGAATCGTCTAAAAAGCATTCTAGGGTTCCAGGGAGTGTAATAGGATTGTGAATTCTTGATGTTTCTGTGACCAGAATGAATAAACCGTATGTGTGCACTGAACAAATGAAACTCTCTGCTTCCTCTGCAGGTGATTCAGGCTTGCCATTCTTGTCCGAAAGCAATCGAAGTGGTAGTCAATGCCTATGAACACATCAGGTGGAACGTGAAGTGGAGAAGAGCCGTCCCTGACGATGACTTGGAGGTAAGTAATGGAAATCACTTCCTGGGGTTTTCATTATCGAGTATTCCCAGACTGCAACAGAACTGAAGACAATTCTAATTAAAACATTTGGTTTCTCTTGTGCGGGTGTGTATTAGTTCATCTACTGGCTTCATATTAGTGATGAATACATTGTAAACTTGCTTTGAATTTTCTTGTGTCATTCAAGAGGAGGAGGGAGGGAGAAGAGGAGGGGGGATTGGTGTGCACCCACCTAATGGGCACCAGGTAAGGGTAGATGGCACACCTCCTAGGTGAGTGGCACAGCTACAATAGGGACCTTACCTTACCTAACAAATGCAAACAGTATAACCGAATCATTTGTGCCCTCACATTAATCTGAAAAAAAAAAAAAAGTTTGGTTTTGAGAATGCCTTTAAAACCCACTTAAATACAATGAGACAAAGAATTATAAAATGCGGGTGCAAGAGCAAATAGTTCCATCAAATAGATGACACTAGGAAGTATCTTAGGAAATTTCTACGTTTGAGGGCAAGTTGGATAAATATATAAAGATGGCACTTTTACTTTCTTCCCATCAATTCACTGAATTAAATGGTAATATCTGGGATTGCTCGTACAACATATTTTACTAGAAGATTAAAGTGTTCTGTGTGGATAATTTTATTCACTTTTAAATACCTTGAAGGGATTACTAGGCGGGGAACAATATTAAAAATCCTATCTTGGGTCATACATAAAGCTACTGGCAGAGATAAGTCCTCACTGTGGACTTTGGGACTTTGGTGCTTTTATAAACCAGGCTTTCCTGCTGAGCACCCTGTTCTTGGTTTCAGAAGTCACAGGCTGTCTCCACCACACGGAGAGGTATCAGGCAGAATGCGAAGGTCACTGGGCACCATGCCTTAGGTGAAACCTTATTCTGCTACTTATTAGCCATGTTACCTTTAAAAGTTGCTTCACTTGACTGAGCTTCATTAATCCATTAAATATCTGAATAAAAGGGTCACACCGGGCACAGAAAGGGCATACCATACTATGTATTCCAATGTAAAGTTGCTATTTTAGTTTAGACTGGTCCAGGGAATTCACACAAGTATATTGTACGTCATTTCTTGGGTTCTGGGGGTAGAGTATTTAGTTTAGACTGGTCCAGGCAATTCACACAAGTATATTGTAC